TTTTATTTCAGAAACAATTTTTTTCTTTTTTTAAATCAGCAGTGGGGACAAGTGAGGGAATGACATATTGGTATATTTTAATTACCTAAAATAAATAAAAAATAAAAATTGATAATTTTATTTTTATTCTTTTGTTAGCTTGCATTCTGAAGGACACTTTCCCTGAATTTTTTTTTTCGTAAGCTGTTAAACAAGCATAAAATATACTGGGGACATGAAAATGACTGTTTTTGTGAGAATGACCCATATATGTAATTTATAAATTAAAATTTAGTTATTGAAAACATTTTTAAAGAAAATTTTTTTTTTTGAAAAAATAATTGTTTAAACTAAAACGTTTTGAAAGCATGCATCAAACAATACATTTGTTATTTAATATTTTATCTTCTTAAAAATCTTACGTCTTTAACAAATAGCGAAATTAAGTAACATTAAGTCACTGTTTTTTTTGTATTTCAGACAGTATCCCACCTTCCCGAGTTTAAATTTGTGTAATTATTATTACTTACCTTTTCCATCAACATATTCCAAAATATATTTAACTATTGGTGTGTTTCCAGAAAATGGTTTTGTCCATCTCAGTACAGCTTTTCTTCCACTTATATGGACAGCTTCCATATTTGTTGGAGCATCAGGACGTTCTAATTATGAATAAAAGTTAAACATTAAGTTATTAATGACTATATTTTGACTTACTGAGAAAAATGTGCGTCAAAAACTGTCAGAATAGGATAAAACTCACCGTACTTCTCTATTGGTTCACCAAAAAGTTACATTTTTAATTAATCGTTAATTTTTACAGAAGAACTTTTATAATTATTTCGGCAAAATTAACATGATGGTTTTGTAATATTTGATAAAATTTGGTAATTTTTATCATGATACATTAGAACAAAGCACAAAAACTATTTATTCAATTAAATTTACTCTTCAGTTTTGCATTGTTTCCTAATTGTGTGGAAATAAGAACTATGTATACTTTTGAAAAAAAGAATTTCTGGTTTAAACCATTACCACTGGAACGGAAAAATTTCTAACTGGATGGTTTAAATACCGTATAATTTGGTTATATTTACCAGAAGTATGTTTTTTTGTTCTTCCTTACTAGAAATGTCATTACTAAACATTACGGAAACTTGAAAAGAATTATTTTTTCCGTACACTTCTTATAACTGACCAAAAACAAAAAAATAGATAAAAATGTAAACATACTTTTTTTATGTCTCATGTTGAGTGATGTGCTAATTGATCTAAGTTCAAGAATTTACTATTTTCCCGCCACCTTATCTTCTTATCTTTCGCATTTATTTAATTAAAGCATCATAAGATCAAGTTCATTCATAATAATTACTGCTGTGTAATATTTCTTTACCTGACAGGAGTTGAAATGTTGTGATGGGAAACTAATTAAGGTAACTGATTAGTGATTTATTTAGTTTGATTTTAATTTTCACGTAAAATAAATTCAAAACCTGAATTTGATAAAGGTTAAAGATTGCAAAAAATAGTTCTTCCTCTTACTTTTTAAATAAGAAATTTTATTAGATCTATAAGCATTTAATATTTGATTACATAAATAAAATTTTTTGCGTACTCATTGATTTATTTATATTGAGCCTTCAGTAGGGATGATAAATTATTCTAACTTATCCACAGTACTGGGCTGATAACATAAATGGGTGAAAGATATACGATATCGATCCTATGAACGAAACCATTTATATCATGGCATGATTTGTATTTCCAGAAGCATTTCAACTTTCTTTTCAACAATTCAGCAATTGCCAAATGGAAATTATTCATTTTCACTCAAGTTCTTGATCTGAATATGATAGTATGGTTTTAGATATCTATTAATTAAAAGATAAATATTATGCATCTTTAATTGTAAATCTATTAACTAAAGATACATTAAATAAAATACACCTTTGATAGCTTTAAATAAGCTGTTTTTGAATCTAGAATATAGATGAAAATTAAGGTTAGTAGTTGAAAAAATAAAATATTTTAATAATCTCTGTTAAATTTGTTTTTAACTTATAAAAATAAAGAACATTGTTGTGATACTCCAGTTTAATTCATTTAATATTTTAAAACAGATAATTTTTAAAATTTTACTCTTATAATTGCACAAGCTTTTGACTTTTACTGTTCCCGACAGCTATCACTACATTTTTACTAATTCTAAGCATACCAGATATTTTTTATACATTTAGGTTCAAAAACTTTTTATTATTATTTTGATTGTGAGTTTTTCTGTAGAAACTCAGGCAAAAAATTTTCTTTGACGTCCCCTTCCTCTTCTCTATGTCAACATATAATTTTTTAAGTATCATGCTAAAAGTTTAGTGAATTTTATTGAATATTAAAGTACTTCGAATAACAATAAATCAGCTTCGATTATAACATATAACTTTTCATAGACTATAAGTTCTATAAGAGTTTCATAGCTTGAACCTGAATAAATGCATCTTAAAATTTGAGAAATCATGATTTTAGCCATTCTCTTTTTAAATTAAGTTAAAGTGGTTTTTTACACACAATACTAATTCTTACTTCCTGATTCCTGATTGATTAACGTTTTCAAACCTTCAGACATTTCAGAATTTCAGATAAATACATTAATTTGGTTGGAACAAACTAAATTGCAAAATAAATATTAAAAAAAATATTGCAATTAATAATGCACATCCAGGTTAGAAGTTGAAAAGTATCGTAACTGGAGGAAAGGGATCACGAAATAAATATACCACAGTTAATAGTCTATTCTATAAATTTAGTGTTTTAGGATATATTTTGTTCCCTTAGCTCGGGATATTTTGGTGCTGTACATCCTTAGTGTCAATTTCTAAAGCAATATTATAAATATTTTGTAAGTATGATTACAAAATAAATACATTGCAAAAAATTCCGGATTAAATCACTAAAGCATACGGATCAAATAAATATTACAGTAAAAAGTACGGTATAATATTTTACGGTAAAATTGATTTTACGGATGATGCACTTTAAGTGCCCGTACTTAATGTTGTAATTTGATTCGGAATTTTTCACTGTGTATGTATGATATTAAAATTAATGCTTGTCCTCTTTTTTGCGTTAAGTTATTTATGTCTTAACTATGTAACGCGTATTTTAAATCTTTTTTTTAAAAAAATATTAACTTAAGTTTTACAAATTCGTTTATCCGTTATATTTGCTAATCCTATAAGTCGAGGGTCTATTATAAAATATCAAACTTTATAATTGAAAAATAATAATTCGGAATATAAATTTAAAAAAAATTATGGACTAAATTGAAAGGAATTATGTCAATGATACTTGTAGCAAAAATAATAACAACAAAAATAGAATATTAAAGGTTTGACCTTTTATAGGTATAAAATATATTTTTATCATATGCGGAACAAATTGTGGAATTATTAAGAATGAATAACAAACTCCTAAACTAGTAGTTTCAAGATAACTTATGAAGGACATGTAGAAAAGTACAAAAGATTGAAAATGATTATCGCCCGAAATGTAAGTGCTTAAAAGCTTTTTAAGAATTTATATTGTGAGTAAATGGAGGTAAGGAGTAAGGGAAAAGTGAAGTACCTTGGACTGTTAATTGATTATGTTTCTCATCTTGTCCAAAAGCATTTGAGGCTACACACGTGTACAATCCATTATCTTGGCGTTCTACTACATGAATTGTGAGCTCTGACAGATGACCAGAATTCAACATTTGTTCTCGAAGCATATATCTAAAAGATAGACAATTTAATTTAGGATAACAAATTTCGTCTGAGTTGAAACATCAGCTGGGAATATAAAATGCACTAGAAAACTGAAACACGTGTTCAATTAAAGAATGATATCTATTTTTAAGGAAGATTTTAAATGCATTTCAATTTTTTTGGATACAATATATACATGAGCCGTCCGTCTGAAGGGTAGTGAAAGTAGGGTATTTTTTTAAGGGCCCCCGTGCAAGAGAATAAGTAGAAGAATGTTTTTAAAGATATCAGAAAATTTAAACTTATATTGAATTTTTCTGTTTTTAATCACCCTGATTGACGTTAAACTAGACTTGGCTCTTTAAAGATGTGTACTTTACAACAGCTGTTAATAGAAATTAAAGTTATAGAGTTAGAAAATGTGATTTAAAATCTTTTATATGCTTATTTAAGTGGGGTTCCTACTTTATTTCATAAGAGGCACTTAACTTGATTAAAATAAAATATATTCTATTAACTACGTTAAATTATATTATAATGCTCTCTTATTTTTGAAGTATTATATATACGACAAAAATCTAACCTAACAAAGAATGAATAAACATCTGTAAAAAAGGATGTTCTGTTACTTTATAACTTAAGGAAAGATTATTGCTTTACTATCGTTGTGAAGTTGCTTGATAGATATGAATGCTAAAAAAAAACAATATTTTTATCATAATGCGTAACAAAATGAATTTAAATTTTCATGCAACACGATTTAGTTCGAAATATAAGTTTTATTCAGTGTTCACAAGTTTTTTGACACAGTATATTTCCAACACAGAAGGCTTCTCTAAAATATTTAAATTTAAAACTAAATGTGGTAATCTTCTGCATATGAAATCCACTTCGATGTTTAGTTCTCATAATAATGCAATTGTAGAAAATAAATGGACAAAATTATTATTTTCTAAATTTATACTGAAAGCAAGCAAAATCTATAAAAAGCATTTTTTTAATAATTCTGTACATAAAAAAGTATTATGCATACAGATGTCTATTATATGCTTTTAAATTCAATATTTTGTATTTCTTTTAAATGTGACTAAATACTATCTTTGATTGCTCTTCAATTAAGGATAAAATTTTGACTATAATTTCAAAGAGTTTGTTAACATTAGCAAAGAAGTTAGAAAAAACTAGAAATGTTTTAAAGAAAAATGTTGAAGGGAATATATAATCTCGTCGTCAGCCTACATGATTGCATCCGCTAACTACAGTGCTTTCTAATATTGTATTAATATGACCAAAACAAATATATATCAATACAACTGTACTGATATTATGCTTTGTATGGATTATTTCCAAATTTTCTTGAATCTGGCTTGCATTTCTGCTTCCTTGAATTTTTTATTCCCCGTTTCCTTGTTTTCTTTGCATTTTTTTTCTTATTTTATGAATTCTATGTCCTTACAGCTTATGAGCAGTTAATAAGTTATATATATNTATATAGAAGAAATTCTAATGGCAGTAATTGATGAATGCGCACAGTATTACTCGGTAAATTGATGAACACGCTTATTTTAAAATTTAAACACTTTTAGTTTCATTCACATGAAACATTTTAAGCGTACTCTGCATTTTAAAATGTAAACAATCTAAGAAGTTGCCAAGCTATTGTTATATATTTCCCTGATTTTGTTCTTAGGGAAAATTAGACTCTTCTCGTCCAGATACGATCGGTTCAATCTCAGTAGAGTGCTCCAGAGGGAGAGTTTGGCGAGAATAAAGAGTGGAAAATAGCCAATATAGATCCAACATCACCTGATTCAGAAACACAGCCAACAAAGCCAGGAAAAGGAAGAGTTTTCTTTGATTTTATTTTTTCTCAGATTTTTGTTTTCTTCTTCACTTTTTCTGAGTTTTTGCCCTTTTTTAGTTAGGATAGAGGCTCTTTTTATCTTTTGTCGATATCCATTTCCGGAATTAGATTAGAATTTTTGTTTGGTCTTTCGGAAATTTTATTCGTGTATTTATTTTTGCTGATTTTATTTACGCAAAGGTGCACAAAAGAAGATAATATTATTCATTTTATTCTAAAATAGTTTGGTAGAAAAATTTATCAAAAAATTTGAATATTTTCTGTATATGAGAGAATGATTTTAAATTTATATACAATACATATTTTTTTATTTCACATTAAAATTATTTTATTAACAAAATAAGCTATATTTTTTAAAATAAACTAATGAAAAATTATTTATAGTCGAAAACTTTTTATATATTAAATAGTAATAATCTTTATTCAACCATGAAACAATATAATTGCAAAAAAAAGGAACAAAAGTAACAAAAGCGTTTTGAAATATAAATTGAAAAGAAATATAATAAATAACTACCTTTTAAATATAGTTATATTATAGTTAAACAAACTTTTTTCATTTATAAATTTGACGTAGATAGCTTTTCTTTATATTCAAACATGTCTTATTAGTGAAGATTTAAATGTTTGTGATATTTGAATTTGCAATTTTTTTTTACAATCTTAATTTCCCACATTGCATTGCATGCTTGATATTTTTACGTTAGCACTCATTGAGTTTTTTCGTTTCGAAATAATTTTCAGCACAACAATTTTTTCTTCAATAAAAATTTTATTCAGTTTATACTTTGTAATACAATTTTTTCTATCTTTTAAAATTTTCCTTATTTTCATTTATGAACAAATATCAGCATTTTTCCTTATAAAAAAAGTCATTTCTTGTCTATTATTACAAGGCAATATTAGTTTTGTTAGCATATTTGATAAGTCAATGTTTTTGTAATTTTTTGCCTAAATCAGAACTTTGTTTGTTGAATGAAAAAAAATGCGAGTTAGTCTTAAAACTAACTATTATTAATTAAAGGCGTGTTTGCTCAGGCGTTATGCAATAAAAAATATTTTGTTGAACTTTCTAATGGATAGGAAATATTTTTCCAAGTAAAGTTCTTAAAATTTTATATTCTTCTTAGTATTTTATATAAGGTAATTTAACGCAACTACTGTGACATTTTTCTCCTTTTAAAATGTTTTTAGGTATAACAGGTGGTCCTCAAAGATTTTTTTATTAATTTAAAATTTTATTACATATTTGTTGATTCCTGGTGTAAAAGAGAAAAATTACGGTTCCTCGTGAGGCAAATATCGTGTTTCTTAATCCAACATTGATAAAATTTTTATCCAATTTTAGTCATTTTTTTTGTTTCTTATATTTTATTCTATTTAACAGTATTGTATCAAAGTAAAAATTTTAAATCTTTGACGTATTTTTTCCTTGTTTACGTGCTACTTTACGAACAAAATATCAGTTTTCGAGTAGTTTAAAGCAAAGCATACGACACTAAGCAAAACCCTCAAAATCCCTCGACGCCTGTTAGAAATAAAGTGTTTAATTAGTTACTCAATCAGAAAAACATTATATTCGAAAACTCATACAATAATTAAAAAATCATTTTTGAATCATTAATTATTATTTATCCTATAAATGTGTTTCTATGTGTGTTGTAATTCCATTAAAATAATTTCAATGTATTTTTGTTTTCCAATAATTGAAACCTTCATTTTATCTAATTTAATTATCACCAGATTTTAAACTTATTGACTAATTTCCTTATAGCCATTTAAAAAAATTTATTTCGATAACAATAAATTTTCTTTACTTAAAACATATAACAGTTTTAAGAAATATTTTTATGTTAAAAATTATTATTCATTCTACAAATCTCTTTCTGTATATGATCCAATTAATATCAAGATTGTAAAAATGCCACTTTATTTTAACATAATTAAAAGCTTTATTTTATCTAATTTGATTATCGCCAATTTTAATTGAAATTTTGTTGCGATAAAATTAATTTGATATGTAGTTCACTCATTGATTTTGACAAATGAGTGACGTACGGAAGATTGAATCCGACAATGCATTTCAGATCTACTCCTCTAATGAGAACGAAAACCCCCAATCTCCCCCGTCGCGTGTTGCAAATACCGTGTTTAACTAGTAATTCGATAAAGGCAAAGGCTCATCCATTTAGAATTGTTTAACTAAGTGTGTCGCAAGAAATGTTTTCGATATATAATCTAATGTTATTGTCTGATAAGTGGAAGATTATACAAAGGGGAATTAAATTTGATTATGGCAATACATTAATGAAATCTACCTTAAAATTACACGATATTATCACATTTAATTTAATTTCGCTTGCTGTAACTACTGAGAAATATAAATTATTATTAAATATAAGTAATTAAGAAATTATAATTTTATTACAGCGAATTCAAGAAAATTTGTATTACTTAATAAAACTAGATTATTTGATATCATATTATTTTTTAAATACAGAAACATAATATTATCTTACAGTGTTTGTTTAGAAATTAAATGGATAATTTAATTTCTAATGTTTTCATCATAAAGAATATTTGATATTATATGTTCAAAAATTTATCGTAACAACTGCTTCATAATTAGTATTTTCTATTAATAAATATTTCTTGAATTTACATTTGATTAAATTTTCTAAGGGAATGTTTCATCTCTTGTATAACGCGATGCATTTAAATTTTGTATAATGCTATTGTAAACATGATCTCCGATGATGTTTCAAAACAAGTAATTTAGTCACAAAAATGAATAAGATGAACAATAAACTCGACAAAATTAAGTATAGAGCTGTTCAATATTTAAGTAGAGGATAACTAAACAAAACTAATGATTGATTTATAAAAAAATTATGTTATCAATAATTTATAGCAATAATTCAAAAGCACACACTTAAATATTAGATACTAAAAGCTATTAACGTTAATAACAAATCACTGATTTCTCGAATAATGATGGTGTTATATATTTTTTGATTGCGAAATTGATTTTTTATAACTTTATTTTTGACAGAAGCTATTGAGTGACAGTGAAAAAATCTGCATGTTTTATGTCGTGCTTCTATGCCTCAATAATGAATTATTCTAAGACTTATTTTATTTTCTTACTTGCAAGAGACAATGAAGATAATTTGCTAAAAATATTTATCGTCAAATATTAAGGTAAATAAAATACAGTATCAAGGCAAGTACGTGTGTTCCTTCTTTGGTAATTTATATAAATATGCTATTGTGATCATGAAATTAGATAATTAATTTTTAATTTAACTTACAATATATTAACACATCAGATATATTAAGTAATTCTTACTAAGTGATGATATGGCACAAATTCCGACATAAAATAATTTTATTAAAATTGTAGTTCATAAGAAATTTCTTTCACTGTAATATAATTTTAAATTTTAGATGTTCAAACAATGATTTATTAAGCATGTTTCTCCTGCCTCTCTTTTCCTGTGGAATTTTTTTTTCGAATTTCCTGTCCAGAAAAAGAAAATGAAATTTTTTTTAGTGCTAGAAATTAATATATATTCTACCATAAATTTGAAAATTCAAAATATTTTTATCAGCAAACAGTTTTTTGCTTGACCTATTAGTGGTGAAATAATTGATGTCCTATCCACTGATCTCCAGTTTTCCTTGCAATGCACCCAAGTTTTATCTTAAAACACATAACACATTAACACATAATAACACATAACATATTAAAACATAATATAACATACTTATTAACTCTATTGCTTTAAGGTGTTTAAGATAAATATCTGCATAAATAATTATTTAAATTAGGTAAAAAATATTTTAGAAAATCATATTTCCACCCTCACCGTTAAAAAAACTTTACAATCAGTCTTGGGCATCAGTGCGCAGAAGACACAACTGTTTTGACCAACTATTTCGACATGCAACGGAAGCACTAATGAAAGCGAAATTACAGAAAATGCTAAATGATTTTGATTTCAATTCAAGAAATCCCACTGTGAAAATTTTAAAGAAAGTGGAACCAGTTGAGCCATCCCTTAGCAATATTCCGAAAATGCAAAAATAATGCGGGATTCAAAGAGACGTGTAAGTAGCGAAGAATTTAACTTCAATTAAGCATTTCTTGTCTTCGTCTCGTGACACATGAAGCCAACCCATACAGACAAAAAAACTCCGAACGTATGAAATGCGACGCAGACAGAGAAGAGGTTAAAGGGTTTGACAAAATTGGATTTACCTTGGATGACTTAAGCCAGCAAAAGGCTGCTTATCTTTTAACCACATGTATGTCATTGGTTTTTCTCCAAAAGCTTCACACTTCAGAGTGACGGATTCTCCTGTTCTTACTGTTTGAGCCACAAACTTCTGTTTGAAATGAGCAGGAACTATAAAAATAATGTTTTCTTACACATTTTTGTAAAAATAACAATGCATTTGTTAAAAAAATTGAAAAGTTTGAATTTATATTCCCTGAAATTTCGATTGCGATAAAAAAGGGTTATTTTAGCCACCTATTCTAAAAATCATTCAGAGGGACGTTTGAAAAATACAATTTTCTCATTGGCTTAGAATATCTATTCATATATATTAAACTGCAGTCAATTCTGTTTTTTTTCCTCCAAATATTTTAAAGATAACATCAGTGTTGTTTGCTAGCTTATAGATCTTATTCATAAAAAAGGAGTTTTTTTTACTGGTTGTCCAGGATCTAACAATTTTTCGTTTGTAATGTCAGATAAACTTAAATAACGAACGTGAACGTGTATTCAGCCAGTAGACTAATAAACTAAGGAAATGATTTATCCCATTGATAATGAAAACTTCTAAAAATTATTAAAATAAAAAAGTATAGATCAATACAGAATAAAATATAATTGGATATCTAGAGAATCGTTTTGTAACCCAAATGTAATGGTTTGAATCTTGTTACTAGCTCAGCATGATGGAAGCGAGCCTCCTCCTATACACCAGAAAGAGCGGTTCACTTTTTCAGAACTCTTTTGAAAATACTCAGTATCCTAATTTATTTTATTATATGACCAGCATTGAACGGCCGACCCAATTCAGATTTTACGACTATTGATGTTCAACTCCATAATCTCGTAGTTCTGAACCCAATCCAGAAAACCGGAAAACTCATGGATCAAACACTAGGGACAAACTAGCCCTCATTAAGGGTTTTTCGTTAAGAACTAACCCGCATTTGCGTTGTATGAGGAGGAAAACCAAAATTAGCCCAATAACACGAAGATTTTTACCCATTGTCCATCTACCTCTGAGAATATTTTATGTCAGCACTATAGTTTGTGTGAGACGAGGAGCGCCGAATACAAATCGACCAACCAATGTTGGGATCGAACTTGGGCCATCTCATTGGGAGTCAAGCGATCTATCCCCTGAGTCAACATTATTTTGCAGTCTGCCTAATTTCTGATATAATACATACACAGTTCAGAATGCATAGTGTTTTAAATTAGCCGCAAATTAAAGAAAAATGCATATTTGCGTAAAGTTATAAAAATCTCCAAGGATTTTCTTTTCTTAAAATAAAGTAATTGATACACCATACTGTGCAATTTATTTTATTAAAAATTCGTAACACTAAATAAATTTTTTTTCCAACCTACTAAGATTTGATGAATGTTATTTTACTATAGCTACCGTATTTTAAATTAAAGCACAATTAAGCATATTTTTTATGCCAACAACCTATGACATTTAAAAGAATGCTTTTGCTAATAAAATTAAATGTGCTTTGATAAAATTGAAAAAAAAAGTACAAAGCGTTGAAGAATTAATAAAGATAAAATCAAATTTATCGCTGCATTTTACTTAATTAAAATTATATCCTTTGTTGATTGTAATATTCCACTTTAGCTGTCAAAAAAGAAGCATACATTGTGCCACGAGACCTAATTAAATTTTTAAGCAGCTGCTCTAAAATAAAAGTTTATTAATTTTGTTCAAAAATGTTTTTCGTTTCCAATAGCTTGTTAAAGTATTCATTTTTATTCTTAAGGTTTTAATTGTGCTTCGTACAAAAATAAAGTAATAAGGTTGAGTAGCACGAGGAAATGATGTAATATTCCTTGTTGCGAGATCTTAATTTGCATTTTTGTTAATTATCTCCTTGTGAAGCATAATCTTAAGTAATTATGCATTTTCACGTAGAACTATTCTCCTACTAATGACTTGAGTAACACTTTTAATAATAATTATAACAAAATATCAATAAAAAATTTAAAGAAACTTAATGTAAACATTTGTAATTAATAGCGAATTAAAATTATAATTTTTAATTCAAACGAAATTTATTACTCAATAAAACTGATGTTAGTGTTGTTATTTCAAATTATTATTATATGTATCTCTCTCTGTATATATATATATATATATGCANTATATATATATATTCAAATCTTTGTTGATTAGAAATGGACACTGGACTCTATATTTCAAAATTTCAAATTTTAACTATTTCTTTTCGACCACTCTCCTCAATGACTTATAATTCATTAGGAAAAATTATATTACTTGTTCTAGAGATAAATCCTCAGGTGACTATGCCCTCATCTGTAAACATCATTCTATACTTGCTATTAAACGTACTAATTATTAGGTCATAAATAAAAATATAGATATATATGTCAATTATTATATTATTATACAAACTATGCAAAAAATTATCAATACATTTCGTGATACGTAAAGCTTGTATAATCAAGTTTCTATTTGAAATCAAGAAAATATCGAAAGCAAAAATTCACTCATTCTTATGCAGTTTAATAAAAAGTTTCCTGCCTGTGCACATCATTGATACGTGCTTCTTACAGCGGGTATGTCTTGTTCAATTTTTTATATGAAATTGTGGCATATTAAAGAATTAATGCCAGGTTTTCAAAATAATTTAATAAAACACTGTAACCACTGTAATTAGAGTTATATTAATAAATTTTATAAACCCTTTTATTAATTTGTAAGTATATTGGGCCAATATGAGGGTTTGTCATAGCATGGCAAAAACTTCATCAATGCATCGCGAACGTCTTTTCCTATCATAAACGCGTTATTATGAAACAAGGGACAAACACTAAAATGTACTGTAAAAATGTACTGTCAAAGCTAACAGAATATTGTAAAATTTTCTGCTTTTCTGGTTCTATAAGAAAACCAAAAAGCTCCCTAATTTTTACCGAAACGCTTTAGTTAAGATTTCGCTAAATCGATAAAGTATCGCTTTTATAACATGTAATACAATTTGGTGAATGCGGTAAAGTTTGGTATTTTTATCATGATACCTTAGAATTTTGCATAAAATTCATTTATTCGGTTAAGTTTACTTTTCAGTTTTGTATTTTTTCTACTAAATATGTAGAATAATGTCTGTATAAGTAGATTTTGAGAACCAGATTTTTTGGTAAACCATTATCTATATGAACTGAAAAACTACTATATGAACGATTTAAATCTCGAATATTTTGGCTTTTATTATTAGAATTTCGATTTTTTCAACCAGAAATATCCTTACAATATGGTAATTTTACCAGCATTACTTTTTCTACGTAGTTTTTATCAATCATATGTTTCTTAATTTTTTGTAAGCTTCCATATGAGAATACTGAATAACAATATTGAATTTTTAAGTAATGTATAGTTAAATATTAAATTTGGCTCTGGTGCATTACACCAATGCAACTTGGGTAAAAATTGTTAAAAATATAATTATGCTTTGTTTTGTTTCAATATATATAAAATATATTGAAATCAACAAAGCTAAAATTCTCATAGATATTGATACTAACTCACCATGAACAGTTAGTTTAACAACAGTGCTTAAAGGCGTTCCAACTCCATTACTTGCTTCACACATGTACCGGCCATCATCATCTTGCTCAATATCTCTGATTACTAGTGAGCCATTAACCAATGTCTGAATATGGGATCCACTGATGACTGTACGGTAATCTCCTCGGTCGTCTGCAAAAGTGAGATAGATGCAGTGAATTTGTCTGTACACATTCAGTGAAAGAATGAGATATATTAACCATTAATTTATTTTTTAAGTACTAACTAGAGTAGACTGTTTGATAGTTGATTGCAAGGGTTATCACAATCTGCCTGTTACATAAAATTACAGGATGACAAAACATCATTTACGTATATGTTTTATTCTTAATGTATTTTTTCTCGTGCAGGGGAAAATATCAAGCAAAATAGTAAAAAAATATTTTCTTTTGAAGTATACTGTTGAAAATTCCGGACTGAATTGCGGTATAGAGAGGTTTTACCATAAAATCCATTTTTACAGTTCCGCGTCCAATTTTGCAATAATATTTATTTATTCAGTAGGATTCTGCTGTTTTATTGCAATTATTACTATTAAAACTATAGTATATCAAATATCATTACGGCGGCCATTACACTGTTAAAATTTTCTTTCAAAAATTATGGTAAAATAATTGGGAGCTGTCTGTACATCCGATTAACCGTAAAGTCTACGGTAAAGAACATTTTTTTCTCTTATGGTTTTGAAATAATTTTCAAGAAGGATGGTTATAAAACCATGAATACAAAACTAGACCGTTTTTTACTCATTTACAACTAGCATTATTCAAAAACGTAATAAAAATTTATTATTTTACTAGACATAGGAACTTGGCTTTTCGTAAGGTAATGGTCATTGGAGAGTGCCGGACACTGGAAATTCTTCATGTGTTGAAGGCAAGGGAGGAAATATTGTGGTGTCAACACTAGGACAGATAAGCCCGCTCGACTATGATATGTACGCAGTTGCAAAGAACTAAGTAGCTTCATTAGGTGGTTCTAGCTGGTGCGATAAAATTCTGGTTGTTTAACCGTATTAAGTGAAAGAAGTTAATAAACAGTCTTTCTCGAACTTAACAGTTTGATTACCATTTTATTTATGGTTATTTGACAGTTTTGATTAAATATGGTAAAATAACCATTCAATAAATTGTTATTTAACCATTTTTTCCGAGAAATTTCTAACAGTATACGAAATGCCGTAAATTTTACTAGAAATATGCTGTTGATTTGAAAATCACAAGATTTTAAATCTTCAGACTCCTCCACGAAGACAGATGTTTGCTGAAGGTTTATTTACCAATAAATACAGGACGTTTCCACATTAATTGAGGCGCATTTAAAATTAGATTTTATTGCAAATATTTCACAGTAATTTCTATATTTCATTACTTAATTAAATGCTTTAATATATTGAAGAAAAACGTATATTCTAATAGTTAAAATCAGTAAAAATATTTTGTATGCATAACAATTGCAGTTTAATTGTTAAGGAAAATCCTGCTGTTTATTTTACATTTCTTTAAAAAATAAGATGATATTTTCTTAAGGATTTTGAAAATGCATTCCCCTTGAACGCTTCGATTTTGAGTTATAACATTTGATATTTTAATAAAAATAAAAATATGAATTTAGTTTTAATCTTTAAATGCTGAAAATTACTCAACAAATTCTAAAAAATGTATTAAGTGTTGTGTAATTCTATTGAAAGGTTTTATGAAATTTTGGTGAAATATTAGGCAAAATTTATTTAAAACTTATTACTAAGTTCAAATATAGTATGCTATATAATTTACATAAATACATTACCAATTATGAATTTCTTGATCATAAATATGAAAACATAATAAGAAAATGTATTTCTTCAAACTTATTTTTTATGTTCTAAATAATTCCAAGACTCTATTCTCTTGTTTTATTAATATTAAATTGTAAGTTAAATTTTTATGAATAAAGTTTCAAGCAAATTAATTTTAAAATATATAGAATTATTAATCTTGTTTTGTAATAAATGAAAACAAAATATCGTTTCCAAGGATTGCTCCTTCATCGATATAATAGATTTAAAGAATTCAATTTATTTCAGAACTTCTTTTGCCGCCCCATTTGTATTTCTCATAAAATCATTCATCGGAAAATAACCGTACAGTAAAAACAATATTTTGCCCAAGAAAACTTATTGAATGCTTATTTTATACTTTTTATTTTGCTTATAAATCCAGCTCGCTGAATTTTATGGAAGAGATATAAGAATTTTACTGATTCAAATAACCTATTTTAATACTGATTGATTGGATATCCTACTGCAATGATAAAGACAACTTGTTTTATTATTAATAAAATCTTGAAAATTTAACATGCATCTAAAAGTTTCACAAAAAAAATGAAAGCAAATTCAATTATTACAGAAGCAAGTAATTGTGATTTAATGATATTGCAATAAATATCACTAGAAAGGGCCGTAGTTTGACCCGGAATTTTTTATAGAGTAGATTGTAAGTTATGTTTCTCATAGGTTCTTGTGGTTTTGCAGCTGAAACCATCATTTCAAATTCAGAATCTCTGATCAACTAGACGCTTTAAATGAATAGTGGGGTACTTCACTTTCGTTCAATTTGAAATACTGGGCCTTAAAGCCCATCTTCCTTATTTCAATAGCGTTGTTCTTCTTGATTTGGTTCACTTTTTGATGACAGAAGGAATATGCCCAACGTGTACTAGTTTTAAAATAATGTTTTAATTAGTAAAGTTGATGATGTTAACTTCTTTTTTTTGTTTAAGTAGATTTGAGCTATTATTCAACGAGTAAAATTTTCAAAAAACTTTTAAAAAAGCAAAATAAGTCAATCACGTGAGATTTAAATGCAAAAAACCAAAAATCGGAAAAAAGAGCATTATGAAAAATAAAACAATTATGTTGGGTAATAATAACAATGAAGGCATACCGTCCATTTTTTTCCATATCACTCTAGGTTCGGGTCTCCCATCAGCAGTACAGTCTAAGGTTACGGTTCCACCTACTGGCACAAACTGGTCAACAGGTTCCACTTTCCATCTTGGAGGTGCTATATTTAAAATACATTATTTTGAAAATTTAATTTGAAAACGGTTTGCTTTAATATTAGAGGGACCCGAAATTAATGTCGTTTTGGTGCATTTGATATTTGCTATGAAGATTTTATTTCTAACCAATAATGTATTCACCCTCGTTGGCAACAACCTTTAAATACCGGATTGAAAATGAATCGGAATGAATCGGAAAAAAATGAATTGGTTTTTAAGACTAACGGATATTTAATGCACCGAAATGACATTACTTTCCTGTCTCACTAATAAATAAATATTTTTAAATTGTTGGAAAAATTATAAATTTAGCTTTTATTACAACTTTGAATATGTTTGTCGTGTTGATAAATGCATTTTCTACAAAGGTCTTATTTCATTACATCTCAATAAAATTTCTGTGAATCATACATTTATTAACTTGCCTCTCTTTTTTCTTATTTGACAATATTTATAATTTTAACTTTATTGTAATTGTAACATATTTAACATTATTGTATTGTATTGATTTTTGTAATTTTTATTGTATTGATACAGAAGCAACGATACTTCCTTTCCTTGAAAAGGTTTGAAAATAATTTTTAACATGAGGTTTGTTGCAAGAAGTAATCAAGATTTTGAAAATTGTATACATATAAACGAAATCAATAGTTTAAATATTCATTTTGGCTAGTTTTATTCATTTTCGTGCTTTATTTTCAACCCTTCAAGTGGAAGTAATGACTTTTTTTTAAAAATTATTTTAAACTGGTTACATTCCAGAAAAAAGAATGTTTAGTGCGAAGAAGATGAACTCAGGCACGAGTCTTTCTCTAGGGCTCAATACTTACTTAATAGGTTTATTGATTGTGGATTTATTATTATTATTATTTTTTTTGAAAAATGTATTTGTCAAAATAATTTCATTTCATTTTTATTTCTGTTTTTATACGTAATAGTTTATACAACAAACGCATGACATTTAGGACCACTAAAAGCTGCTTGAAAATAAATGTGATGAATAAAACTTTGCTAATATTTATCTTAAGAGCATGGATCAAAAATTTATTATTTTTAAACTTTTGAGCATTAAAATTTTGACTCTTGTATTTTGCTATAATAAACTTAAAATGAATTTCGTTGAATAAATAGATAACAAAATTTTAACTAATCAAAAATTAAAATGACTACCAAAAACTAACGAACATATTACAACTCTAGATAAAAGCAACTTATAGTTAACTTATTTTTTAGGACTTCTAACAGGTAATTTATACTTACCTTTTGATTAAAAAATCTTTCATTTGAACATACAAGAATTTATCGACACACTTCAAATGAAAATTATTAACATCAAAGAAACATAAAATTTTTCTTCCGTTCAGCTTAATTTTTGACATCAAACGAAACAGTGTATTATTTTTAAAAACTAGCTTAAAGAAGTGGTTAATATTTAATGAAACGTTAATCGAATGCGTTAAATCAAAGTAGATTATCGATTTAACTTTTAAGTTCCTTTAATTGCAGTTAGAACATTTTTGTATTCAAACTAGCGAACAAGATTCATGAATTCCTAAATTTTCAATATAATAAAAATCAAATAGATAAATTCTTGTTGAAATATTTATCGTTCTTTTTAATATAAATTAGTTAAAACTTTAACAGGCAAGAAAAATGCTTTAAAAGGAAATTAACTTAAAATAAATTATAGTCGATTGGAACTTAACAAAAAAGTAAGAAGAAATCCAAAGAATATATTCATGCGGTATTTCCATTTTAAGTTTTCCATTATTGAAAATTGGCAATGCATGATGATATTAAGCAAATTATTTTAATTTCAAAGTAAATTTGTCAATGAGTGGACTGTTTAAAATAATTTAAACTGATAACGTAAATTTAAGTAGGTTGCTTCCAAAAAGCCTCGTTTTGAGGGCAGAATAGTATCACAGCTTTTGAGTACATTTTTAATACTAAAATAATTTCATATCCGATTTTTCACCACGAATTTAGAAGTATTTATAGCTTTGAGTATTTCTTTTGTATTACTCATCTTAAGACTAATAAAATTGCACCAATGTCTAATAAAGTTATCATAGATGACACGCAGATACGACTTATATTAAAATTAACACTATCATCAGAAAATATTACATTTTATTTTAACTAAAAAGGATAATTATGGACAACAAATTTTTGTTAATATAAATACTTGATCTCCTCGAATTCGGGTGTGGAGATTTCAGATCTAAAATTAGTCTTGCTCCTAAAGCTGCAGTGTTTGTTTCTTAAAAAAAAAAGAGACATTTTTAGTCCATTTTTTGTCAAACTGTGGAAGCTCTTAAACGTGACCAATAGCAGCGCCGTATAAATGTAATGGCATATTGGCATATTTTAAGACACTTCATCAGATATGGAATTGCATAGGGAACCATGCCCGGAAATACCTTCCTACACGGCTAGGGAACCTATTATGACCTCAGAGCGTACCTATTATGACCTCAGAGGCTCAATGGGAAATAGTTGTAACATAATAGAGATACGCCACTAGAGGCGTATTGCGACACTTTCGGGTATGGTTTCTAATGCAATTTCAATCCAGATGATATTCCGTAACTCCTATAGAAGTATGTCGCGACATTTTAGTGACTCTCTGTAATATATAACGTTTTTAAACTTGAACATTTCGACAAAAAATGGATTAATGCCTTTTAGAATAAAAACTGTTTTATTTCGGGAGAGACCGATTACAGATTTGATATCAGCGATACAAAAGTATCTAAGATCTGTTAAAAAATCCCACGCAACATAAAATTTTTTCCCCCTGTGTAAGTGAGTTTTTAAGAAAACTATTCAACAATTTAAATAATTATTTTTTCTGATCACAGAAATGTGTTAATATAGACAAAAAAATAACCATTTTGCTGTTAAAGTTCTTAATTCATCCAGACTATTTAATCAAATCGAAAGGTGCAACTCACCGTTCACAGACAATGGAACTGAATAATTGACAGTGGCAGCGTCATTATATGCCACGCAGGTATATGTGCCACTGTGTTCTTGACGAAGGGACTTGAAGATGAGAGTGGATACGAAGTCATCTATCATTTCAAGAGATATTCCAGTCTCCAGGGATAGGGGAATTCCATCCTTCAGCCAGGATATTCGAATGGGAGCATCACCAGTTGGGACACTACACGAGACACTTGCCCGCATACCTTCCTGAGGGTTTTTGGGAAAGCTGAAGGGAGTTATGCTTGGAGGAACTGTAAATAAATAATAAGATGCCATGGATGATTTGGTAGAGAACTAATCATATACGTCTAGCAAAAGATATGCTCTAAAATGAAGATTTATTTTTGAAAGTTTTTCATTAGAAATGAAATTCACTTTTCGAGCTGAAAAATTTGCGGGATATCTCGTAGGATTCTTTCTTTCAAAAGGTCGTGTTGCTTTAATTTTAATAAGAGCTAACTAAATTAAAATATATGTTCCCTATAGGTATCAAAGTAAATAAAGGTATCAAAGTAAATCTCTAAAGTAAATGATAAGTAATCAATAATAATTATTTAAAGTCCTAACTCTTCTGCCTTTTGTTTCACACCTAATCTATTGGGAAGATCTATATTGAAATTTTCAATTCGATACAGATCTTTCCAATAGATTAGATGGGATGAATTAGAAATTTAAAATGAAGAATCCAAAAATTTAGAATGAATTAGAAATTTTCCAATGATTTAGACATTTTCTTTTCGTTTGCTTAATCGAATTATACTATTTCTGCTATAGATGTACTTTAGAACTAACAATTCGACTTAAATTACTTGCATTAAGTTTTGTGATCCTTCTTAAAATAAATCGAGGATAATTAAATGTCTAAATAAACTATAAATATTTTAATACAAAAGGGCAATAATGCAATTATTTTTGATTAATTTATTACCATATTGACACGATTTTATTAAATTAAAATATTTTACGGTTAAAAAGATGCTCTTCACTTTACTTTTTATTTAAATAATGTAGTAAGCAATATAACATCTAAACCAACTCTGCCAGTTATCGCGGAAAAAGAAACTATTCAAAACTACTTTTTATAAGTTGTACAATTAATTTGTAAGTCGATGCTCACATTTTAACCAACATCATTTATACTGGTTGGTTCTATCAATAAAGCAAAATTATAAGACATTAATATAACAAATTTAAGTATTATATGTTTCTGAATAGTTTTGTTAGAGCCATTTTGCATATTATTAACAAGAACAAATATTACAACACATTTTTTTTTAAAAAAATGATCCATTTTTAATGTATTTCAGTTAAATTTTAGCTGAAAATAATGACATTTTTCGATAGCTTAATGGATTTATAATGTTTCTGTCATATACGCATTATAGGACTAACAATTTGAAAGAATTATTTTCATTACGTTTCTGTCTTTTCTTAAAATAAAATTCAGCATCTAAATAATAGTATTGATTGTGGGATAATATATAATTAAATATTTGAGCAAAAAGTAAACATTTCATATTAAAATATATATTCACTGAAATTAATTTGGTATATTCATCAGGTTACAAAATATTACAAATCAGAGCAAATGCTGAATTTCAAGCAAAATAAAATGCTCAGGACATGAAGTAGATAAAATATATGCCATAAATGTAAAATTTAATGGTGATAAATTTCAGAGCAAAAATGTGCAGTATCATATCATCAACATAAATTGCAAATTCATGGGATATGGGAGTTGTTTCAAACATGAATAAACGCATTTTTATTCAAAACTATTCTAAATGAATAGAAAACGCCGTTCCCTCTCTCAAATGAAAATTTACAGCGACACATTATAATGCCAGTGACGTTTTTTGCACGGTAAATCGAGATTAATATATAATTTTAAAGGAAAGCAAAAATTATAAGAGAATGCCCCAGCATATAATGGAACAGTTTCAAATAGCATGGAACTTAATAAACAAAAATAAAAATGAAATAACTGTAATATGTCATAATAATAAAATAAATGGAAGTTCTGGATCGTAACAATAACTGCTCTAAGGTTTTGAGCATTGCATTGGTGATAATGTTACTTTTTTTTCCGCTGTGATACTGTTTTAACGGCTGCAGGCTTCTATTTTTACGACTGCAAAGAAATAATTCAGAAACGTATGGCTTCCCAAATGTCTTAGGTTTTGTGGAGAAATGTATGCGATTTTGGGAACAGTCACTGTCAAAAGAGGGACATTATCAATATGGTTTTGTTTAAAAAATGGGTATTTCTCAACCTTTCACCAAAGCACGTGTTACCATTATCATTTTGTTTTTCGTACTCTTTTGTATTTGTAACACGCTGGGATTGTCATGTTTTAACATGACTTCGTAGTAATTGTGCTGTTTTTTAAACATAAACAATGCTTTCACCTAATTTTCTTTATATATTTTTTTCGTTTTTTTCCGGATAAACGTGCCTTGTGAGTAAAATACTTTCTGGTAGATGATTGAAATTCTCTTCGGAACAACACAGTTTATACAACAAAACATTTCGAATATATTTTGAGGCATTTTACTTTTTATTAAATCTGAGGAAAATTGTAAAGCATAAAAAAGTTCTTTTCTTGAGTTATAATCAGCTTACTTAATGTAATTTAAAAGTAACAGTATCTCTTAAAAAACTTCACAGTTCTTTAATTGTGTAATTTGTTGTTAAATGTTTTATTTTATCTTATCCACTGCATTAAACAAGCCGATTATTTTCAGGTAAACGCCTCTCAATGTTCAACTCAGTAGTAGTCATGTAATTTTGAGTCCCTTTCAGACGAATCCTGAACTAAGCATTGCGATAAACTTAATTACAAATATAGAAACTACGATAATTTTCCACGTTAAGAACAATAGCAGGGAAAATCTTGACCATGTTGTATTAACCACAGAGGACCCTCCTACAATTTACATGCGTGATGCATTGTGGTCGATGTTGACCGGGAGCAGCATACGAATCGACCAGTCATCGCTTAGATTCGAACCCGGTACACCTCATATGAATCCTCTGCTGTATCTCCAGATCCTCCTTGGCTTGTTTTAAGAAATTGGAGAAAACAGTAAATGAAACTATTTCAAAGTTAAAAAAATAGCGACATGGGAAAATAAAATAAGGGTAAAATGAACTCGACTGTTGCGCAAAATGTAAGAATGGTAAGAAAATGAATAAATTATCATACGCATTAAACCCAAGAAATGATTTTTAAAAGCAAGTTAGTCTTTATTAATTGCTCTGAGAAAACCAAAAAAAGTTCTTGATTTGTAGAATTTTGGGAAGGTGAAGTTATTATGACTTCAGTTGAAAGAAGTTATTAGGAATTGTAGACTAGAGTGTTATTTTATATTTTAAACCGCAAAATCGGTAAGAAACGAGTAGAATAACCAAATTTTGTAAAAAAATAAATAAATATGGTTTAAGTAAAATAACAAATCCGAAGAACATATGCTTGGCAGTATCAAAAATATAGTATTAAGTTCTTGGTATTCAAATTTATCTGTTTTACCCAGAAAAGTGTGCCCACAGTCTCTTAGCTAAACTTGTTTCAAAAAACTAGTAGACAAAAGTATGAAAAATATTTAATTTATAATGCGTGTCCCAAAACTTACGTAAGATTCGAATTCAATAGAAAATATAGTTTTTTTCGCCATGATATAAATATTTATTGTCCCGCAGTGGACTGATCGTTAAGACACGGTTCCCAGCAGATCACCGATGTCAAGCATCACTGGCTGCGGTCAGTGTGCGAGTGGGTGACCATTTGGATCAGTCTGCGTAGGGACCGAGGGTGTGCGATATTGGTCCTCGTTAAACTGTGCTACCGTAAAGTGCTCGACTTCGCGCGCAGGTCGTCGGGCTGCCGAAGCGGGGGTGCCATCCCCTCCACAGAGGATCAAAATTGTAATGGCATGTCTTCGGATTATCCTCCGGGATGTTTCCCAGACCGTCGCCAATAGCCCAATGTGCAGCTCCAGTGCGACGTAAATTAACAACAACAGCAACAATAAATATTTATTATTCAAAAATTAAAGGCATAGGGCAGGGAAATGCATGTAATAGCACAGTATGTTTATCACCAACAGTTTTTGCTGGCACATATGCAATCATTCATCGAAATTTTCCATTACTATTTTGATAAATGTGGTAGAATTTAATTACTACGGAGTTGAATATCTTTCCTTATTGCTAAGAGATGTTGTAGGCTTGTTGACGTAGATTTTTACTTTAAATTACCCCACAGAAAGAAATCCAGCGGTGGTAAATCACATGATCTAGGGGTTGAATTGTGGATACCGAAACGAGAGATACATGACCAGAACATACCTCGTTCAGTAATTGGGTTTTCACGGGACGTATAGTATATAGCACGGTCTAGTTGAAACCTCACGATGGCCTGTACACACCTTAAAGCATGTGTATTGGACGTCCAGTGTACATTTTTTCCAAGTCTTCTTGAATTTTTCTTCAGTTTCTTTAAATGCGACGACGTTAAATCAATATTTCGACTATATATGGTCCAAAATTTGCAAACTATAGCAGCCAAACGTCTATAATTTTCAATGTATTTTTCAGCAATGGAATGTGTTGTTCTTTCGTCTAATACAGAATTTTTATAAGTCCTTAACTGTCAGTACTTTATTTAATCTTGCAAAAAATTTTGAGATATCTTTAATAAATAAAATAATTAAACTGTGATATATTATGCAGTTATTTAGGCTTTTTTCATCTTAAAGAAGTAATAGCATAAAAAGAATTCTGTCCCGCGCTATACAATTGAGAAAGAAAAACTAAGATTACTTATAATTTTATTAAAAAAATCAATAAAATTCTACGGTTATAACTGTTGGTTTAAAGAAATAAATTTATTTTTGATTCTAATCGAAGAATTAGTTGTTTACTTTTCATTGATTTTTAGAGTTATTATTATTTTTAAAAAAAGAAAAACTCAGCCGCAATATGTTTCTTGATTTTAGTACCAAAATGAAAAACAAGTGCAATTTTATGCAGGAATAAAAAACATATTTATCGATTGTTCCTTTCAAAATTTTGCGTTTTTCATCAGATTACTCCCCCAAAAGATTACAAGAAGTAATCTATTGATTTTTTCTTCTTCGATCTGAAGAGAAGAATTTTTTAAAATTATTATAATAAAGTACTTTTTTCGAGGATATTTGCATTTTCAATTATATCTTTTGTTATTTTATACCAAAACACATTTTCCTTATT